AAAGTTATTGGCAGAGATCGTCAATTTTGATGTGCTCAGCCAAGAAGGCAGAGTGGAGGCAGAGCGGAGTAGGAGCTAGCCGCAACAAGACAAATGTGGCGCTAGAATAAATGTACATTTAATACCTCGTTAAAGGCAGGCAAGGGGAGCTATTACTTTGTATTCTTGACACTATAGTGCTCCTTTAGGGTAATTCATCTGTCTTTTTGATTTAAAGGGACTCTGTAGGCACTGTAACTGCTCCATCTCAGTGGCTCCAAAGTTTGGAGTCCCCTGGTGCCATCCTTCTATTCAACATTAAACTGTCTTTAATGTTTTAATGTTACATGCGAGTTCCCAGCAGCACATCCCCTTTATTCTACAGGGCTAATGAGGAAGCATTAGCATGAGCAGCAGTGTCTGGTTAGGATTGGCTGAGTGTGTCAGCTGACCGCTTTCAGCCTATCAAAGTAACCATTGCTGGTATAAATTGGTATAGCTAGAACAAAGTGTGTAATCTCTGCCTTAACCATACCTCCAGTAAAGCGGGGCTATGGGAGGTCAGGGACCCTCATTCAGTTTTAAACTGCTAAAAAATGGAGGGACAGTGCCAGGGGCTCCAGGCACTTTAACTAATTCAATGAGATGAACTGGTTATACTGGCCACAGTGTCCCTTTAACCTATGCACCGGCTCTGTCACCCAGTATCAGAAGAAGAGGAAAAGTGCCGCATAGAACCCATGATCAAACCTACCTCCACTACCAGCAAATAAGGGCATTTAACCCCTTAAGGACCAAACTTCTGGAATAAAAGGGAATCATGACATGTCACACATGTCATGTGTCCTTAAGGGGTTAAAGCAACCGTATAGGGTCAGGAGTACAAACGTGTTAAAAACTCTATTTAGCCCTACGTTCTCCCCTTGTCCCCCTTAAATAAGCAGTGTACTTACCTTTATTCCTGTGCAGCAACGTTCTGCCTCATTGGTTGAGATCATCAGAATTGACTATCTCAAAAGCATTGGATTAGCTGAGAACATCAATTCTGATGATCTCAGCCAAGGAGGCGGGGCAGGGGGCTGAACCAAACGTCACCATAGCCAATAAGCATCTCCACATAGAGATGCATCATATGAATGCATCTCTATGGGTAAAGTTCAGCGTCTCCATGCAGTAAATAGGCAAATACACCAAAGTGAGAGTACAGATTTAGGGCTCATATTAAAGGGACACTATAGTCACCAAAACAACTTTAGCTTAATGAAGCAGTTTTGGTGTATAGATCATGCCCCTGCAGTCTCACTGCTCAATTCTCTGCCACCTAGGAGTAAAATCACTTTGTTTATGAACCCTAGTCACACCTCCCTGCATGTGACTTGCACAGCCTTCCTAAACAATTCCTGTAAAGAGTCAACTAAAGTTTATCCTTCCTTTATTGCAAGTTCTGTTTAATTTAGAATTTCTTATCCCCTGCTATGCTAATGTCTTGCTAGACCCTACAAGAGCCTCTTGTATGTGATTAAAGTTCAATTTACAGAGAAAGAGATAAAATTGTTTAAGGCAAATAACATCTGATTGAAAGTGAAACCAGTTTTTTTATCATGCAGATTGTGTCAATCAGGGTCAGGGGAGGTCTGCATAAACAGAAACAAAGTGATTTAACTCATAAATGGCAGTGGATTGAGCAATGAAACCCGAGAGGCATGATCTACACACAAAGACTGCTTAATTAAGCTAAAGTTGTTTAGGTGATTATAGTGTTCCTTTAACAATGAATATTGTGATTTTGTATTTTCTAAGATGTGCTGGGAGATGCAATTCTCCACTGGTTGTCAATGTTACTTATCACGAATCTACTGAATAACTCAGAAATAATGCTGTTCTTCACTGAGCATCATGGGAAATGTAGTTCTCAACACTGGGGTTGCGAATGTTCACAATGAGAGGTGTAGCTTACTGGCTTCCTTATGTGTATTCCAAATCGGGAAGAAAGCAATGGAAAGGTAACAATGTTTTTTGTGGAAAGGTAACAAATTAAACCCTAATGGCAAAATTCCAAATCAGTAATTTTAGTCTCAGTTTTACCAATTGGATTTAATTTGCTACATTTTGATATTTAGTGAAAAATCAAACAGGGTTATTCACTAAAGTTGGATTTATCAAAAAGCAAATACATAGTGAGTTTAGACCAAATAGCTGAACTAATATAGCTGAAAAAACAGGGTTATTCACTAAAGTTGGATTTATCAAAAAGCAAATACATAGTGAGTTTAGACCAAATAGCTGAACTAATATAGCTGACTCCATTCTTCATTTTTTTTTTTTTTTCCTGCTTTGGCCTGAAATGTGAAATCATTTTGAATTCTTGACAATTTACACTTTAGCGAAATAGCTCTTTAGAAGTGTTTTTACAGATCAGGTCACCTTAAACAGTTATTTGTTTACATTTCTTGTCTTTTGATGGGTATGTTTTAGATTTGTCTCATTTTTCAAGCATGTGCTCTGTCTATTTTTGTGCGTAAATGTTATTAACCTAAACCACCTCTGTTAATAGATTGTTCTTGAATCTGCAGATCTTTCATGCCACGTGTCAGCTATAGCCTGTTAAGGATCTGAGTCAGATGGGAAAGTAAGACTTTTTTTTTTTTTTTTTTTGTCTTCAGATGTTTGGCGCAAGTTTCAATGTTGACATAAATAGAGCTGGATTCGAAGAGAAGGAAAGCAGAACTTTTTTTTTTTTTGCATCTAAGGGGAAAATTTTATATTTTGTTCATGTTAAATTGAAACAATTGGGGACTATAATTCCCATAATCCATATCATTCCTACTGCAGTATTATAGATGTTTTCTGGCAGTCCACAGGTTGGCCATCCTTGGTGAGTTTTAATGGGCTTGTTATCTGCTGTGTAAATTCAATCCCAACTTGGATTGATTTTGTGTGGTTGGGCAACCATTACATTGTTACAACAGGCCTGGTAGAGCAGGGGTTAATAACATTCAGCTAACAGTGTAGGGTAGGCCTGGTGTCAGCCCAAACTACTATAGCACAATTTTAACGCTTTTCTTCGCCCTGTTGCTGCTCCTCCCCGTACCGACTTAACCGCCACAAACTTTGCAACTTATTTCACTGACAAGATCTCTACAATCAGGGAGAAGATCTTTCATCTCTCTCCTTCCACTTACAATACTTCCTGCACCCTCCCTCTGCTGTTCTATGCTCATTCGCACCCGCTACAGCGGAATAGGTTTCTGATCTGCTCCGGTCCTCCTGCCCCACCACCTGCTCCCTTGATCCAATTCCCTCGCATCTCATGTCTCCTTCTCTTGCTTTGCCTCTCACTAAAATTTTTTATCTCTCCCTCTCCTCTGGCATATTTCCATTACCCTTCAAACATGCAACTGTAACCCTGATTCTTAAAAAAATAAATAAATAAATAAATAAAATAAATAAAAAACTTGACCTTAACTCCGTGTCAAACTACAGCTCTACTACTGCCTTTTGCATCCAGGATCCTTGAAAGACTTGTGTATGTGAGACTGACAGACTTTGAGTCCAATTCTCTGCTCGACCCACTTAAGTCTGGTTTCTGTGCTCTGCATTCTGTGGAAACAGCTCTGATCAAAGTATCAAACGATCTACTCGCTGCAAAATCTCGTGGTCACTACTCTATCCTAATTCTCCTTGACCTTTCCGCTGCATTTGATACTGTTGATCATCAACCGCTTCTTTTCATCCTCCGTAATCTCGGTCTACGAGATATTGCTCTCTCCTGGTGCTCCTCCTACCTCACCCAGCACTCTTTTAGCGTTTCTTTCTCTGGCTCTTCCTCACAACCTCTCTCTGTTGGTGTCCCCCATGGTTCAGTCCTTGGTCCTCTTCTATTCTCGATCTATACTGCCTCCCTTGGTAAACTCATCTCCGTTTCCATCTCCAAAACAAGCTGATCCATGTCACTGTCCGCTCTCGCCTTGATTACTGCAATCTGCTTCTCAGTGGCCTTACGTGCTCCCAACTTGCCCCGTTGCAGTCTTTTATGAATGCGGCGGCGAGGCTCATCTTCCTGTCCACCTGCACCTCCCACGCCTCACCCTTCTGTCAGTCTCTGCATTGGCTTACCGTAAGATATAGGGCTCAATATGAAATTCTGGTTCTTGCTTTCAAATCTCTACATAATGCTACTCCCACCTATCGATCCTCCCTAATACACAAGTATTTCCCGTCTAGACCCCTTCACTCTGCCGAAGGCCTGCGTCTATCCTCTGTTCGTACTTCCACCTCTGATGCTCGCCTTCAAGACTTCTCGAGGGCTGCACTGTTCCTGTGGAACTCCCTTCCCTTTTCTGTTAGACGCTCACCCAGTCGCTACTCCTTCAAAAAAATCATTAAAAACTAACTTTTTCACAAAAGCATATCAATTAAACTGTTAGTGTGGGTTTTTTGGAGCCATTAAGTCTTCATTTAGTACTATTCTACCAATCTACTTCCCTTACCTTTTGTGTCACTTTATCCCACTCCCTCTAGCATGTAAGCTCATTGAGCAGGGCCCTCAACCCCTCTGTTCCTGTGTGTCAAACCTGTCTGGTTACAACTACATGTGTGTTAGTCCACCCATTGTAAAGCGCTACCGTATTTGTTGGCGCTATAATAATAATGATGAACGGGCTGTGATATGCAGACTATATAACAATGACAATTTCTGCTGCTTAATGTAAAGCTTGGACTATTGCTAAAAATAAATAAAAAAATAATGTAATAACTACAGCTTATTGTATTTGTTCTGTTTAATATAATCATTCCCTTCAGGCTTTTTGCAGTAAACACTGTGTTTCTATAGAAAAGGCAGTGTTTACATTACAGCCTAGGCCGGGATACCTCCACTGGCCACTCCTCAGATGG